TTTATTTATTAAATATCACTTAGAACGAGTTCATTTTTAGAGAAGGCAATATGTTCACATGGTTCAACAATCACAGCAATATACACAATATACACGTACACACTGACAGGTGGCTCCCACCTACTCATTTCCCCATCTCCCCCCAGGGGGCCTACAAGTAAGCACTCTTACTAGGTTTTTGTTTATCTTTCCAGTATTTTAAAATGAAAATCAGACAAGTATGAATCTGTTTTCTTATTTTCCCTCTCTTATGCAAAGCATAATGTGCATTATTTCTGCACAATGCTTTTGTTTTTTAACCTTACTAGTATAGGAATTATCATTCAAACTCTCAGAGCCTGAGCTTCCTCATCAAGCAAATGGGAATAATATGCCCACCTTATAGAGTTGTTGGAAAGTGAAATTTCACAAGATAGTGCAGGTGGTCTGTCTAGCGTGATGCCTACCTAGCACCTGGCAAAGACTCCAAAAAAAGTAGTTAGTATTATTGTTGTTATGTGGGGATAATGGTAATACGTGCATCCAGGGAGGAGGGAAGGAAGACGTGAAGTGACATATGCTGAAGAATCTTGCACAGGCCTAGCATAAAGAATACTCCCAATAAGTGGTGACATTATCAACCGATTCAGGCCACATATTGACCATATTGAAAGGCTGACTTTTTTTTTTTTATGTTGTTTCTCCTGTGTAGATCTGGGATTCAACATCCTTCTACACATATTTGAAATTTTAACACTAAGGAGGGAAGGACGGGAGTATGTATTGAGTTTCCATTCCATTTTATTTATTGACTTCTTAGGAAGAGATAATTTTGCGTATATGAATCATTTAACCTTCATGGGCACTAACAGGGGAATTGAAGGTAGGTGGCAGGTAGGAAAAACAGCCTCGGGCACGAATTTGGAGCTTCTCGGTGACCTTAAATCAGGAGTTGGCAAACTATGCCTCATTGACCACATGTGGCCTGCCACTTGTTTTTGTACAGCTCATGAGCTAAGAATTCTCTTAATATTTTTAAATGAAATTTTAAAAAGAAAATCAGTAGAAGGATAACGTTTGTGACAAGTGGAAATTACATGAAATTCAAATACCAACGTCCGTGAAGTTATATTGGAACGCCAACTCGTGTGTTTACTGTAGCTGCTTTCACACTACAATGGTAGAGCTGTGTGCTTGCGACCGAGACCATGGGAACCACAGGCTGAACGTGTTTCCTATCTGGCTCTTCACAGAAATAGTGTGCTGACCTCTGCCCTAAAGTACTGTTCGCGTAGATTAAATGTGTTCCTGTGTTTCCCTTGCAGAGACAGCAGGCCCCGGGAGGGAGTCTGGACGGCAGTGAGAGAGGGCAGGGCCTGGACTGCGCAGTCCTCACGTGCATGGTGCAGCTGGCTCAGATCCTGGTTGGAGGTGGCCTGGGCTTCCTGGTCAACAAGGCTGGGAGCGTCATTGTGGTAATCACAGCCTCTGTGGTGGCCATGATCGGCTGCTGTTTTGTGGCTCTCTTCGTAAGATATGTGGATTAGGTCAATAGGGAGACATCATCCCTAACCTCCAACACAGTGAAGGACATGGTAGGAAATCAGTCTGTCCTCTGGCTCTGCAGCTTTGGGGTCTGCCCATTGGCTGCCCTGCGTTATGACTTCAGCTACAGTGATCTGCCTGCACGTCACTTTCTGCCAACCCTCTGCACAGCAGTTTCCTTATTTTAGGCATCATCTATCTCGGGAAAGACTGGGCTCTGCCTCCATTCACCGGTGGCAAAGGTTAATTGTGGGAGATGGCGCCTCCATGCGCCTTCCTACTGCATCCCAGGACATTCCAGGCCTTGACAAAATGCCAGAAGCTGACTAGTTTTACACAGGACAATGGTGTTTATTATATCGTGTGTTGTTTTTTTCTTAACCAGAGGTCTATATTTAATCGGAGGGTCATACTTTTCATTATTTCACCAATACTCAAAATATTGCTGATGATTTATGATATTAGCTTACTCATATTTAATTCATATTTCATTTACTTATACAGACAGTCCCTGGCTTACAATACAATGGTTCAAATTACAATTCTTCTTCCTCTTCTCCTTCTCCTTCATCTTCTTTTACTTAACGATAGTTGGAAAGCAGTGCACATTCAGTAGAAATCATACCTCAGATTGTGAATTTTGATCTTTTCTGGGTGATACATGCCCTTGTGATGCTGGGCAGCGGCAGCCACAGCTCTCAGTCAGTCTCACCATCCCGAGGGTGAACAACTGGTCCACTGACCACCATTCTGTCTCCATACAGCTCCACTGGTTTTGTTTCTGGTTTCCATTTTCAGTATGGTATTCAGTAAATTACATGAGATAGTCAACACTCAAAACCACTCCATCTTCCTTCCTCCCTCTCCCTCTCACGTTATCCATCGTAGAGTGGCGAGGTCATGACTGACTCAGAGGAGTGATCAGGGAGAAACCTGCTGTCTAGCCTATACTGTGGGATGATGATGAGCAAATGCTCAGAGGACCCCATGTGACCCAGAACCCTGTGTTATAAAAGAAACGCCTCCCTTGTAATTCACCTGTCCTTGCTGTCTGCAAAGTTTAAAAGTAGAACTATTTGCAGACTTCAATGTTTATTTCCTGATCATTTCTCCAAGGACTGTTCTGGTGATTGAAGATTTTGAAATCAATGAATGGGTGAGGTAGGAAGGACCTGCAGTTAAGGACCATCTTACCTGGACCCCAAGAAGTTAAAAGTAGTCATCTCTGGCCAAGCACAGGGCAAGGGAAGCTCTTTTCAGCTGAAGGACTGGATGGGCTGCTGGGATGAAGAAAGGAGCTAGGGCATGCATTCACCACCACCCCTAAATCCCCTCACACACATGCACTCACACACACACTTGGATATTCAAACACTCTGCTCTCTTAACTCGACTCCACTCAGGTTTGAATGAGTGGATAGAATCCAATTTTAAAAGCCTTTAACCACTTTTAAGCACTCAAGTACTTGTTCTCAGTATACTTGTTCTCTTGTTTCTCTCTGACAGTAATGTTCTATTCCCAGACAAATAAAGCAAATGCAGGGACACCTAAATTCGGATCAGAAATCCCAGGAAATCCTGTAGGAGAAAGGAAAGCCAAACTGCTTTGTCTGCTGCTTCCCGCACCATGCCACTGACATTCCAACCTCAAACCTTTAATCACTGCTTTCCCTCAGCTGCAAATGTCCTGTGTCCCCACTACCTGTCTAAATTGCCATCCCTGCCCATTTAACTTGTACCCTTATTTCTAGGTCCATCTCATATACTATTTTGATAAGGAAGTCTCTTATCCTCCAGCAGAACCAAGCTTTCTGCCCCCTATATTACCATAGCACTTTCTTTTAGCCTTATTATGACATTCAACTCACTGTTCCATGACCTAGTTGCCTTGTGTACATGGCTGCGTCTCCTAAATATACAAGTCGGTAATGTGTCTAGTTGATGTGTGTGATCTCAGCACCCAGTACAGGGCTTGGCACACAACTGGCATTCAAAAAAATAAAATAAATTTGGCCATTTCCTGGTTTATTTTTTTGTCTTTGTGGTAAACAGAAGTCATAGTCTTGGCTCTCTCTAGCCATGTTCTCAGAAGCCCTCAAGTTTGGATGGGGACAGGTGGATTCTTTTCACAAAGTTCTTTCATGAAGGCCTTGCCCTTAGCCCCTTCTGTTTTTCTAGGGCCCATCATGGCAGAAGCACACCCTTCAATATACTTCCCTAAAAACCTGAACCAACCCAGTATCTTATTCTCAAAATTGAAATGGCAAGTTCCTGTCACAAAGAGAATCTCTCCATGAGAGGCTAATATCAACATTATACATGGATACACTGCCATGCTACTACTGTTTGTTCTTTCTGGGTGTTTCTTGCTTGGTTATTTTGTTTTTGGGGACTCGGAGGGGATTGCCGTTCAGTTTTTATTAGCCCAATTGCTATTCGATATCAGTATCAATATTTTTTTCTTCCTAAAGAGCAAAGATAGACTAATTTGACAACTCTATTTATTTATTTATTTATTTATTTATTTAAGTAGACTACACCCAAGGTGGGGCTTGAACTTAACAACCCAGAGATCAAGAGTCACATGCTCTACCAACTGAGCCAACCAGGCATCCCTATTTGACTACTTTAAAACAAAAGCATTATTCAGTTTTCTAAAAAGCTAACTTCTCAGGACTGCTCAGGATTGAGGAGATCGGGAAGCTTTTGTTTTTGTGGCAAAGCTATGAATGCTTAGTAATTACACTGCGTTGTGTTACAGAATGCAGGACGAGGGATGCTAGGGCTGCAGGTGTTCACACTGAGCCTGAAATCTCAGACAGTACAGGACATTTCCAACAAAAGTACTAAAAGATTTACAGTTTGAGAGGTTATTTAAGCAGACATGTTTGTATAATGATTATTTATTGTGAAAGAACCACAACAATAGATGCCCAAGTTGCAAGGTTTGCTTTTTTTTTTTAATCCCAAACTAGATCACCCAAAGAGAACAGTAGCACCTCTGTCCAAACTGGCAGTTGGATGGGTAGGCTGATGTTTGATCCCTATTCTCTAAGCAGCCTCAAGAAAGGACTAAATTGCTATGACCAGGACAGAGTTGTCTCAAGAAACGTGTCATTCTTCAGAGATGGTCCCATAGACTGCCTGGTGGTTAAGGAAGAGTTTGTAATTCACGCTCACCATGCAGAGCATTCCTTAGAATGAATGGAACTTGGCCAAAGAGCCATTTGAAGTCCCACAGTATCCTGTGGAAAGTCTTACTCCCCACCTTGTCTTCTCAATATTATGAGAAAGAGAGAACCCCTCAGCAGAAATTGTGATGATCCCCTCAGAATGGGCTCTCTGTACTCTCTTCCCTTTGGGATAGATTTTACTCGAGTCTTCCATTCCCTTTCCCACCCCACGCCTCCTGTTGAAATCTGGTTCTAGGAGTTTGGTTTCCAGAAGTCTCCCTTACCCCCCCCCCCTGCTCCCCCATTTCTACAGCATCTTTTAGTTTTCTGTCCTGAGCCTATAGAAGCCGACCCTTCTACAGGCTGGTAGAGCCTCTATCAAACGGGCACCCGGAGTTCCAAAGAGTGAAGGAGGAGAGGCTACAGAAAAGTCCCCACGCCCAGTAGCGTGTCTACTCAGACCTTTTCAAGTTGCTCCAGGGCACAGCTCACCTGCCGCGCGCAGAAAGGAGCACACAGCTTTTCCAGTACCCACGCCGCTTCCCAGGGAACTGGGAAGTCCAGGCTTCCGGCACCTGGCGCCCTCTCTTCCTGCTCGGTTACTAAGGGAGCACGTGAGCTCCCCTTTTCCTTCAGAGGCGAGAGCCTGAAAAGGTCTCAGTTCAGTCCCTCTAATCACAATGCATCTGCTCCCTCCCTCAGGGACGCCACTCTCCAGCGAATCGCTCGCGGCGTTTGCTGGCAAGTGTTTTGTCTCAGGTGACAGCTGAGCACAGAGTCGCGGCCCGGCTCCCGCGTACCCACTCCCCCTGTCCGCGATGGTAAATGATACAATGGCGTCACGGGAGATGCCTCTCTCTCGCGGTGCATTTCTCTTGAACGCGGATCAAGACCGTCGCTACTTTCTTCCAACTCCGAAAAAGTTTCTTATTCCCAAACCGGGCTCTCTGCGCAGCCACGCCGCAAGTCAGAAGGCGCTGCGGCGGGCTCGCCTGCCAAGGCGCGAAGGAATGGTTTTTGTGGGAGGCTCCCCCAGTTGGACGCGCCGCTAGGACCCTTTCAAGAGCTCCATAAAAGTCGCTGGAATAAATGCGCTCAATTGCCTGCGCACCACTTGGCTGAGCCCCACTTCCTCGCGCCCCAATTTTTTACATTCCTGAGTCCTTTCTCCGCTTCTGGGCGCCCCTACCCTGCCCAGTGTTGACAGCCTAAAGAGAGGAAGTGGTGTGGGGGGAGAGAAGGGGGACGCGGGCTGGTGGCTTGGCTCTGCGATGCTGACCCGGGCCCCTTTGCCAGCTTCCTCTCTCCACCCTGTCTGGAAGCCTTCCCTCCCCGGAGACAGCCCCCTCGTCTCTTCAGTGGCGGCTCCCTTGCGCCCCTCCCTATCCTCGTCCCTCCTACCTCTCGATCCGGCGGGCGCCCAGCATCTCCTAATCCGCTCTCCTCTTTCCCCACCCGGGGAAGGCCACTTTGCGGTGACTGCGCACCCTGGGCTGAGTCAGTAGGCGGAGCTGCTGGGCAGCAGATCGTAGCGCCCCCCACTGTAGACCACCACGCCAGGCGGGTAGTAGACCAGGTCTGGCTCCGCGGTCGGGTGGAGAGGTGCCAGGGCCTGCAGCCCCTGATCTTCGGGCTCTGGCTTGGTGGTGGCGGTGAAAGGGCGCATGCTGGTGAGAGAGGGCGACGCGATGCGCCACAGCAGACTCTTGAGCGCTTTGCGGAACTCGCGGCGCACGAGGCAGTAGAGGATGGGGTTGAGACAGCTGTTGGAATGAGCCAGGCACACGCTCACCGGGAACGCGTATACCTGGCATAGGAAATACTCTTGGCTGAAGGGCACCGCGTTGAACTTGATGAGGATGCTCCAGGTGGTGAGCGCCTGGTTGGGCAGCCAACACAGGAAGAATGATAGGACCACGATGGTCACTGATTTGGTGACTTTGGACCGTCTCCTGGCGCTGGCTGCGGCCAGGCTGCCCCGGGCAGCCGAGGCTCCTCCTTCGGTCCCTGCCACTCGGCGATCGGAGATGAAGCGCACCAGCAGCAGATAGCACAGGCTGATGATACACAAGGGCAGCACGAAGCCTAGCAGCACCTTCTGCAAGTGGTAGAGGCCCAGCCAGAACTGTCTGTCGCCGCCCAGCAACTTGTCTGGGAAGCGCACCAGGCACAGCTCCTCGCCCATCACCTTGATAGTGGTGGAGAAGATGGCATTGGGCAACGAGGCCAGCGCGGCGGAGGCCCAGATCAATACGCACAGTGCTTTGGCTGAGAAGCAGCAGCTGCCCCCCAGGCTTTTGCCGCAGCAGTCGCACCGGCCGTGCCTTCGGGTCCTGTGGCTCTTAAGAGCCGAGGCCACCGAGTGGTAGCGCGCCACGCTCATGGAGGTGAGGAAGAAGACGCTGGCGTACATGTTCATGGACGTCACTATGGATACGATCTTACACATGGCCTTGCCGAAGGGCCATTTGAAGTCCAGAGCGTTTTCCACCGCCCAGAAGGGCAGGGTGAGTACGAATTGAAAGTCTGTCAGCGCCAGGTTGGTGACGAAGAGGTTGATGGAGGACTTGCGCCATCCCTGCTTACTCTTCATCAGGTAGAGCACCAGCAGGTTGCCGGTCAGGCCCAACGCGCAAACCACCCAGTACACCACGCTGATGAGGACCCGCACCCGGGCCTCGGTGTCTGCACTTTCTGTCCCGCCGGTGCCCGGGGGATGCCCCGGCGCCGCGCCATCAGGCAGCTCTAGCCCCAGATCCCACCACAAGTCCTGAAGCCGCAGCGACGCGTTGCCGCTGGTGTTGGCCGCCTGCAGAAGGTACGGGATCATACTGAAGAGTTCTGCGAGCTCGTCTCCGCCAGCCGCCTTCTTCATGGTGACTGTCGTGGCTGCAGCGACTACCTGCAAGCACAGGTGCCTCTAGGTCATGTTCCAGGAGGACTTCAAGACCTAAGCGAGTCCAACGCACTGGGGGTTCTGTCCCCGCGAGGGCGCAGGGCGTTCGTGGGAGCTTTCAAGGAAGCAGTTGCACGTGGCTCTTGGGTACTGGGTGCCAAAAGCTTCTCTGGCCCGCGGCGGCGTTGGGGCGCGAGAGTTGGTCTCCGCGTCTGTTCTGGAGCGGAGTTCTAGAACCGAGCAGCGCAGCTCCGAAGGCGAGCGGTGGGCGTCCAAGGGTTCTCTGGCTGAGCTCGGAAGATCCTTGCTGTACGATCCAGACGTTCCCGCACTGCGTTTGTTGGGCACTAGCCTATACCCACCCTGCCCCTCAGGACCTCTATTGGGGGCCCGCTCCTTCTCTTTCAAATACCTTTGTCGGTTTCCTTTGCTGCTGCAGCTCGGACGAGGTTTCTGCCCTTTGAGAGGAAAAAGAGAAGGGAGTTCCATCTATCTCGCTCTGACTCTCCGGAGGTCTTTCGAAGTCATCCTTCCAGCCTTGCGCCTCCACCTCTCCGCTGTTGTCAGCTCCCAGTGAGTTGCCAGCCGCTGTCACCGGAATTCTACTCGCACCCGCAAAACCTAGGTTGCGGGCTCTCAGGGAGCATGCGTAAACCCCCGCGCGAGTTGAGGGGGCGCTTTCCGAGGTGCTGAACTTCGCCACGCCCGCTTCGGGAAGGAGGAAGCGGTGGGCGGCAGGGAGAGCCCACCAGAAGATTCTCCTTTTCCTCTTCAAAGTTTCAGAAGAAGATGGTTGTAACCCTTTATTTTCCTATGTTTCTGGAGAAAGTCGGCTTTGATTTGCTCTCCCTTCTTCTTGTTTATTCCCAAACATAACTGCAGGTATTAGAATTTTTTTCTTTCTTCTTTACTCTCACTTTATCTTTGAAATGATACCATTCGATGAAAGATGGTTCTAAAAATTCAAGATCTCCTACCCATTTTTATTTTTAAAAGCAACGGCAGTGGCCTCTTTTCATGCCCAGACCCCAAGTCAGATGATGGGCTTTTACTGGATAAACACAAATTCCACGTCCCCTTCTTTAATTATCTAACCACTTTACTTGGTGTCTGTGATTGTCACGATTTTCAAAGCTTCTTCATATAGCAGAACTATAGGTTCAAGTGTTGCCCTCTGCCTTTGGTATGTACTAAGAACTGAAGTTAGGCAGAGAGTATACAATTGGGGAGCTGACTTCACAGACACTAGATACCTCCCGTCCAGCTCTCAGCCCAAAGCTCTTTCACAAATTGCTTACTCGCATGCATTCTCTTTACCTTGATGCAGTTGGAATAGGGGATTCTATGAGGCTGTTTTTGGACCACCAGCCCCTTACTTTCACTACGATTATAATCAAAACTCTTTAGCAGGTGTTTTTCAGACCAATGGAAGTAAATGTTAAGGAATCTTCTAAGTTACTTTGGGCAAGGGGAACCAGTGTAGACCATTTGAATTACTTCTCAAATCGCAGTTTATTTAAATGCCAGCTCAACTGCTCAATGTAAATTATACTTCTTAGGGTGAAATTAAGAAATTTGAAATGTTTTCTGCACTGTCCCCGCCTAAACTGAGACAAAAATATGTTAAGCATAATTGTCCTCTCTTCTGTGGAGTTCACGACTTTACTTACAGAGATGAAGAGGATGTGGCTTTAAAGCAGCAGAGATAGTAAAATAGTTAAAAAAGAAATGTGGTACCCAAAACATATGAAGGGAAACGGAAACAATCTGGATTCCAAAGCAAGAACCCAGTTCCAAGCAGAGAACATGCTTCCCTATACACTCTGGACTTCTCCGGTTGCCGGCTAGAGGGCGTCAGGGCTTTAGTAAAAAACAAATCAAAACCAACCACCTTGAACAGCTCTAATCTGGAGAAGTTCATTCAGCCCAGCTCTGATTATTGCTCCCAATCCACAAGTTGCCTCTGTGGACACCTCTTATCTCTGTTTTAGTATCCTCATCTTTAAGCTCACTTTTCACTTCATGTTTTACTAATGCTTTCTCCATCAAAATTTTCTCTCTCCTTTATTTAAAAAAAGAAGTTAAAAAAATATTTCAAGGTGTTATTGAAAAATGAGGAAGCCTATGGCATACTCTGACAATCCTTTGCCTTGTTTTTCACACCTGTATATGGAAGGAATTACAGTTTTTAAATATTCTGAGGATAGATGCTAAGTAGGTGACATCAGAGTCAGGTGGGGAGCTCCTCCCAGCCCTATGCTGGCCCAGAGATTCTGATTCTCAGTGGATTTGGAAAAGGATCCAAGACTGTACATTTGCTTAAGTTTATTTTCATTTATTTTGAGACAGAGATAGAGAGCAAGTGGGGGAGGGACAGAGAGAGAGAGAGACGGAGACCAAATCCCAAGCAGGGTCTGAGATGTCAGCACAGAGCCCAATGTGGGGCTTGAATTCATGAACTGTGAGATCATGACTTGAGCTGAAATCAAGAGTTGGACGCTTAACTGACTGAGCCACCCAGGTGCCCCAAGACTCTACAACTTAAATGCATTCTTCCAGATGATACTATTTTTTTTCTAAGTTTGGGAATATCTGGACTTTTATTTTTTTTCTAACTTTCCAGGTAAAAAAATATTAAGTTCCCAAAAGTAATGAATGTCCAGTGGTGGTTTATCACACCCTAATATTGGAAACAAAGGAAGAGAAAGAGGTCTTGGCAAGTTTCCTTAAAATCACATTTGGGTCCAACAATGACATTTTCTTCATTGTGGGACTGAGAGGGCCATGTGCTCCTGTGGTATGTCAGACAGCACATCTCAGACTGAGCCCTCGGGACAGGCTGTCCCAAGTGCGACTCTCCAAGAATTCAGCCAGAATGCTTCTAAGGCTAGAATATTCGTTTCTGAATCTGCTCTCTGAAAATGAACCAGAGATCATGTACAGCAATTTATAGTATCACTTAACTAAGCCTGTGTTATGGAAGCAAAAATCCCTTTTCAAAGAAGTTCTTTTCCAACACTAACTAAAGATATTTTAGACCCATTTTCCTAAAAATATGGGCCACATTTTTCTCAGACTTCATCTAAAAAATTCAAGGAGAGAAACGTATCAGTGGTGGTCAAGTATCATTTAATTATACAAGGTCATAATCCAAATAATGTAATATATGACAAACAAGTTAGTAAAGGCTAGGATGTGAGTTTGAGGGAGCCTGGTATCACATGGATAGTTTGTTCTGGGCAGACTGTAGCAAGACAGAAGCACTTGAGCTGGATCTAAATGAGAAGACAGGAAATTACAGGAGTCAGGTTAGAGAGAAGATATATAATCTGAACTTCTTGATTCTGGGATTCTACAAAGAAAAGTGGGTTTTCAGATAAAATAGAAAAGAATCTATTCTTTCAAGATTCCTTTGGAATATGTGCAGATAATCTTCACTCTGAATTATTTCTTTTCAGTCTACAGATAGCACAGAATTTTATTGTACCAAAATTATGAATTGAATTCCTAATATGCACAAAGCAATGTGTTAGGTGTTTGGATATAAAACAACAAAAACAACAATGGTATAATAATAATAATAATACCAATAATATAATAAAAGCAATGATAACCATTCATATTTCACATTTATTTGGAAACTACTATTTTTCTAGGGTTGTAACAAATTATCACAAAATGGGTGGTTTAAAAGAACAAAAATTTATTATCTCAAAATCCTCAACACTAGAAGTCAGAAATCAGGGTGTTGTCAGAGTTGGTTCCTTGGATGTTCTGAGGGAGAAAACATACCATGCCTCTCTCCTAACTTCTGGTGAGTCTATGTTGATTCCTTGGTTTGTAACAGTATCATTGTTATCTCTGTCTTTGTCTTCAGACGGCATTTCTCCTTTCTGTGTGTCTCTTTGTGTCTCTGTCTTCTCTATATATAAGGACACCAGTCACTGAATTAGTGTCTACTCTAATCCTATATGACTTCATCCTAATCTGCAAAAGTTATATATTTACATTTCCAAACAGGGTCACATTCACAGGTACCGGGAACTAGGACCTGAACATATCTTTTTAGGGGACACAATTATACCCACTACAGGTAACAACTGTGTCCACTGTGCAAAGGTTTTTATCTGCATTATCTCACCTAATACTCACAAGTGAGGTTAATACTACTATCATCCCAGATCTGATTTCCAGCCTTTTATCCCCAGAACTCTAGAGTTGCATATCCAACTGTTACTTGATGCTTCAACATGGTTGCCGATTTTCTTCAGATTTTTCAATCTTAGTAAATGGCATTACTATTCACATAATCATTCAAACTAAAAACCCAAGAGTAGGGGCACCTGGGTGGCTCAGTCGGTTAAGTGTTCGACTGCAGCTCAGGTCATGATCTCACAGTCCGTGAGTTCGAGCCCTGCATCAGGCTCTGTGCTGACAGCTCGGAGCCTGGAGCCTGCTTCAGATTCTGTGTCTCCCTGTCTCTCTGCCCCTCCCCTGCTCATGCTCTGTCTCTCTGTGTCTCAAAAATAAAAATAAAAACATTAAAAAATTTTTTAAAAAACCCAAGAGTAATTCTTTACCTCTCATTTTCCCTTACACTTAATGAACTCAATGTAGCAGGTCTTAGTAGCATGTTCTCAAGAACAAAAACAAAAACAAAACCCCCAAATTCCTGAATCCACCTACTTCTTCTTATTTTTCAATTTCTCTCTGTGTTAGGTATCTCTTGCTGAATAATAATTTATGTTAAAACTTTATGGCTTAAAATAACAGTCTGTGTAGTTCAGGAACCCAGGCGCGGCATAGTGTCATTGGCTCAAGGTCTAGCATGAGGTTGCAGTCAACCTATCAGCTGGTGTTGTGGTCTTATTTAATTAATTTAGCAGTAGAGAGGGGAATTTGCCTTTAAGTTCATTCACAAGGTTGTTGGCAGACCTTGATCTTTCACTCTGTGAGATGCTTCACAATATAGCAGCTGGGTTCTGGCAGGGTAATGAAGGGGGGTGGGCAGGGAGAGGAATCGGCATGAAATC